GGGTCCTTTGAGGCCACTGGGGTGGTAAAACAAACACTGTTTCAGGAAACAAAACATTCAACTGTCCACACAGGCCACCTTGCAAGAAGGTGACTGATGATCCACCAGTCAAATGGTTTGCGAGTAGCCACTTTGCAAGTAGAGCAAGCGGGTGTCTGTGAGGGAGGTCAGCGGTGAGGAAAAAAAAGCTGAGCGTAAATAGATTAGATAGAACCATAAAGAATAAGGGCGGTAAAGCTGTTCAGTTGGATGGCTTTTTAGGTTTTCGAGAGGAGCAAGTTGGTATTTACAAGGCGGAAAAGTGGTAAAGCAGAAAATCCAGTGCCAAACAAATGTCACATTTGAAAACAGTTGAAGCTATTTAACTCGGATGAACATTTATATGCTTTCAAGTGGCGCAGGTTGGTGTTTACAAGGAGCGCAAGTGGAAGAAGAAAATTGCGGGGAAACCCCACATAGCTCATCGGTGCAATCGACGTCAAGTGGGTGTGCAAGGCGGGCAGGTGATGAGGAATAAAGTTAAATATGAATAAATAACTTTAATGAAGAAAACTGAAACAAAAATTAGCTGGACTCGGACATCTTTGTTGCATTGCAAGTAGAGAAAATGAGTGTGTCGAAACAGTTCTCCAAAATGCCGCATGAATAAGAAAACTAGAAAGAAAAATGTGGATTAAGACATCTTTGTAATGATGCAAGTAGAGCAAGGGGTGTGTGCAAGGTGGGCAAATGGTGCAGTTCATGACGAATGTTCTTCTCACACAGTGGCGATGCAAACGAGGATGCCGGTGACCTGGACTTCAGCGCTCTGCTCAAAAAAAGGTACAGTACATCCATCTTTTTTTGTTTTTTTTGCCCTGCCCGCTGACCGGATGACCGCCACGGTGCTCCCTCATCACATCAGGGAGAAGAAGCAGCAGCAAGCCCCCCGCGAAGACGTGGACGTTTGGGACATCCTGAAGGCGGCCAAGCCGTGCGACTACGAGAAGATCGCCTTCGAGTACGGCATCACCGACCTCCGCGGAATGCTGAAGAGGCTGAAGAAGATGAAGACGGTGGAGCCCAAAAAGAGCGATGGTGAGGTGGGGTGGGCGGGCCATGGTGACGGCGACATCCACGGTGGCGGCAGCCTAACCGGACGTTGTGTCCGCAGCTTTCCTGAAGAAGCTGGAGCCTGCCTACTCGGTGGACAAGGGCCGCAGGATCCAGCTGAGCGTGGAGGTGGCCGACCCTAACGTCCCCATCAAGTGGCTCAAAAACGGACAGGAGATCAAACCCTCGGCCAAGTGAGTACAGCGGTGGCCGCGGCGTCATCATCATCATCGTCATCATCACTATTATTAGGTTAGGTCAGGGAGCCATGTGATCTCTTTCAGCCAATCAGCAAAGACAAATGATGGCAGGAAGGGAAAAGTCCCAATGACAGGGAAATGTCATTTAGAACTCATTCTGTCTAAATATGATCAAATGTATACAGTGTGCAAAATCTAATGATGAAGACGTTTGAAAAGTTGGTTTGAAAAATAAATTCAGGGGACAAACTGTTGATGTAACAACATTCAAATATTAATTTAAAGATTTTAATAAAAAACGAAATTATTCATTATTCACTAAGATAATTAAATTCATAAAAATCGAATTTGTTCAATTTAATTTCAATTGAAAAACTAATGAAATAAAAATCATTAACATCACATGAATTCAAAATAAAAATATGAAACGCTATTAAAATACATTAAAATAAAAGTAAAGCAAAAATCCATGCACAACGCAAAACCTTTCAATCCCAGGATATTTCACAACAATTTTCCTAGCTATTCTATCTTATCTAATATCTCTATCATTCTATCTCTTTCCCCAGAGTGATTCTGTAGGCCAATATTCAGTAGCTTCTTCACCCAAAACGAAGCAGGTAACAATCCTACAAAAGGACATAAAAAGTATTTGTTAAAAATGCAAATGAAATCTGATTCACTTGCTGATTGGCTGCTCGAATTTCCAGCCTGGTGTCCAAACAACTGTCGTGCTGTCGCCAGATATATATGGATATAGATGAGCTGTACACTGGCCTTGCGTCACCGTGGCAACGTGGCGAGCGCTTCTGTGTTCCCGGTGACATCACGGGCGGCGCTGGTCTTTGTGCGGCAGGTACGTGTTCGAGAGCGTGGGCAACCGGCGCACGCTCACCATCAACAAGTGCAACCTGTCAGACGACGCGGCCTACGAGTGCGTGGTGGGTGAAGACAAATGTTTCACCGAGGTCTTCGTCAAAGGTAGCTGACTCAGCTGTTGTCTTCGTCACGCACCGTCCCAAACTCATCACAAACCGTTGATTCTTCCTAAAGTCGCCCCAATGAAAACGACACAAGGCAAAGCAGCCGGGTTGTCGTTACCACCTGTGTTAAAAAAATGAAAAGTATTCAGTGTGGCTTTTGAAATTTCAACCTATCGAAGTACAATAAGGTAGTGTTCATCATTCGGAGGAGGGTGCATTGTGATCAGCGTGCAAAAAGTGAAGGGAATGCCATGTCAGCCTTGTACAGGGTGGAAAATGGGAGAAAGAAAAATCTGACATTCAATAAAAATTGAATGAATAAAAACAAATACAGTGAGTCAAGTACTTGTTTACTCAAATTTGAAAAAAAAATGCAATTAAAAGCTAGTAGTAGATGATATAGTAATAAAATTGTAAGTAAATATAACAAACACAATCAAAATTAAAATGAATGCAATAAATTAGTCAAATGAAAACAAGCAGAAGAATTAAAATTAACTAGAAAAAAACTACAATACTACCTCTGTAAAAATATTTTTCAACTGTTAAGTATTAAAAAAAAAAATCCATAAGGACAAAAATAAAATATAATCAAATGCACAATGTAAAATAAAATACAGCAATATGATTAATGAAGTAGATGAAATCAAAATAAATGTAACCAAACTGCATTATGAATTCCATGTATTGATATTTTGTTAATTTCCATTAAATTACAATTAAATAAAATTTAATTGGATGGAATTCAAATAAATAACAGGATAGATAAAAATAATGTAACCGTAAATTCGTTCAACTCTGCCAATAATACGATTAAAACCGACCAATTCAAAAAAAGTTTGCCTTTTTCACGACTAAACAAGAAAGCCCATTTATGGCTTTGCGTCGTGTTTGTGCAGCACCGGTGAGCAAATGTGTCATCGTTTGGAGGTGTACATCTTTTGAAGGCCGCTTGAACAACACAACAGCTCAACCATGCGATTAAAAAAAAAATACATTGAAGGATTTTCTATTTATATGCTTAACTCTGTCAACTAATTTAAATATGTGCGACCCCTCTTGCGTTGGAGTACTTTCCGCAAGTACTACAAATACTCGCTTACAGCAGTACACTTGACTCGCCTGTTCTTTAGAGCCACCTGTGACCATCACAAAGCTTCTGGACGACGTCCACACGGTGGTGGGCGAGAAGGTGGAATTCGAGGTGGAGGTCTCCGAGGAAGGGGCGCACGTCAAATGGTGAGCAACACTGTTGGTTTGTGTGGAACGAGCGCCGTATATCAACGATACTGAACGCCTGTGCTTCGTTTGTCTTCAGGATGAAAGATGGCGTGGAGCTGACTAAAGAGAGCGCGGCTTCCAAGTACAGATTCAAGAAGGATGGCAAGAGGCACATTTTGATCATCAACGATGTCACCAAGGAGAACATCGGCACCTACTTCGCCTTGACCAACGGTGGAGAGTCCAAGGCTGAGCTGGAAGTGGAAGGTAACGTTTGGCTTCTTCCGCCATTTGCTGTAAACTTGGCTTCAGTGGCCATTTTGAGGTCTTGGGACTTTCCTAGCTAAGACCCGCCTCACGGCAAGCAACGCATCCATTACCGACTGAACTGTGGCGCACTCTGCAAGCCCTCGGCAACTGCTTTTCCTCTCTTTGTGTTAATCTGCTCCTTCTTTGACAATCATGACGTGTTTTTGTGCTTCAATAACAAATAATAGAGTACAATATAATGTATGTCGAACCTCAAAAGTAGATACAGGGTCTCAGTTGTGCATTTTCAGCACTTGGAATTTGTTGGAGACTCGACCTGCTTGGTTTTCGTCACAGGAAATTGGGACCTGACTAATATTTGGAGTCTTATTTATATCTCACACATATGTGACTTACTCCCACCTCTGCTTTTCTGCAAATGTGTGAATCAAGCTGACAGCGTGCCATGCTACTCAATGCTAAACGAAGATAACGCATCAACTCGCCCATGAAAGCGAAGTGAAAGCCGACGGGGGGCCGAGACGCAAACTAATTGGCTATGAATGTCTGAGGAGGGGAAGTTTGCTGACAGGTATTTCAATTAGCTTAGCCGTCGCTACGTGTTGATGTTTTTCATTTGGACAAGCGTGGAAGCTCATCAATTAGTTAGTGCCGTAATTAATACTGCTCAATTTATCCGAGTGTCCGTCTATCGTGCTGTTATCCGTCAGGGTAATTTGCTCTACACGTCCAAAACTGATCACAGGGTCGCGGCTTTGGCTTCCTCGCTTCACTGCTGAATCTCTGGTGTGTTCCTTCAGCACTGCCTCAAAAATGCCAAAAAGGTGGCCCAAAGTTTAACAGAAAAAAAAAAAAAATTAAAAGTTTGTGTTATTTGGTTAGCGAAGAGTGAATTTGCGCTGCACTTGTGTGCAGAGAAGGAACTGCAGGTTCTGCAGAGCATCGCCGACCTGACGGTGAAGGCCAGCGAGCAGGCCGTGTTCAAGTGCGAGGTGTCTGATGAGAAGGTGACGGGCAAGTGGTTCAAGGACGGTGTGGAGGTGCAACCCAGCGAGTGCATCAAGATGACACACATTGGAAGGTACAGTCGCACCGGAAGGTAACTGTGTCACAATGTAAGGTCTTAGGGTTGCGCTGGAAACTATTTCAGTTGCACGAGTTTCACTGGAAGGTGCCTTAGTCGCACTGGAAGGTATCAGTTGTCCCCTGGAAGGTAGCTGAATCACAATGGAAGGTAGCTGAGTCCCACTGGCATTTAAGAGTTGCACTTGAAGGTAACTGAGTGGCACTGGAAGGCAATGTAGGCGCAATGGAATGAATGGGTGTTGCACTGGAAGGGAACTGAGTCCAATTGGAAGGTTTTACTCATACTGCATGTTAACCGGGGTGCACTGGAAGGTAATTGAGTTGCACTATAAAGTACAGTATTATTTGTGGCCTTGGAAAGTATCCAAGCCGCACTGGAGCATGAGTGAGGTGCACTCGAAGGTACGGTCGTGACACTGGAAGGAATCAGAGTCATATTAGTCATGCTGCAATGTCTTGGTGTAGCCCTGGAAGCAATCTGAGGCGCGCGAATCACACAGGAAGATAGTGTGTGTGTATGTGTGTGTGTGTGTGTGTGTGTGTGTGGGGGGGGGGGTAGAGTGGGAGCTGCGATGGCTATCACAGTTGCTCTTGAAGTAGTCTCAGCTGCACTGCAAGGCAGCAGAGTCTCACCAGTAAGCATCTGAATCACACTACAAGGCGAAAGTCAACCTCTGAATTGTCGTCACTTTGGCCACTTCACCGTCTTACTCCAAACGTCATACAATCAATACCAAATGATTCTCTTGGCGGTTGACCCATTTTTTTGTGGGGTGGGGAATAGGCAGCAATCAGCAAAAGTGCAGCTTCGTAACACATATACACAGATAGGCACACATGAAGAACACCCTGTCCCCCAACCTACGGTTCGTTAATTTTTCTGCTTAATCCCCCCATCGAAGACACGCCAAGGCGACACCGGTCACACAAGGTGAAAACCATTTGGGCTGATTTTGTTGCCGGGCAAAAGCAGCAGCGGAACGTCTGCGCTCTGTCACTTAATTGCCGCTCAAGCAGTGACTGTGGTCTCTATGGTAACCGTGCAATGTCTCCAGGACACACAAGCTGACGATCAGCGACGTGAAGCCCTCCGACGTGGGAGATTATACCTTTGTTCCCGACGGCTATGCACTCTCCCTGTCGGCCAAGCTCAATTTCCTGGGTGAGCCAGTAAATCGTCAGTTTAACCCGCATTGTTTTTGGCATATGTGAGCTGACTCATGTGTTCTTTTCTTTCAGAAATCAAGATTGACTATGTTCCCAGACAAGGTGAGTCCCTCGTACTTACTTGAGCATGCAGTAGTAATTACTATGTTATTACACAGCTGTTAAGCAGTAATACCTAGATTGTTCTGGAACAGCTCATTTTTAAGCCCTTTATTTGTAGTTATTGGATGTTTATAGTAGTATGAGTACGCTGATCTATGTAATGTAATGTATCCAGCAATAATTAATAGAATATTACACAGGTATTAATCAGTTAGAACTATAGTTTTCCAGGACCATTTAGGAGGAATTTCTTGATTACAATGACTAAATACTACAATCATATCGTCGTTGTCAATCAGAATTCCGGGATCAACATCAGTTAGAGGGTCATACACGCTTATCAAATAATTATGACTGGGTTTTTAGTCATTTTATTACTCTGGTATGAGTAAATACTGGATTATTTTAATGGAATTCTGTCATGAATCATGCATCATTATCAAGCGGGAGTTACTAGATTATTACAGTAGTATTTGGTAGCTACTACAGCATGAACATCCATTACCATGTGACAGACCCTCCCAAGATCCACTTGGACACGAGCGCGACAGGGAGCAAGAATACCATCACGGTGGTGGCCGGCAACAAACTCCGCTTTGACGTGGAGATCTCGGGGGATCCCCCGCCGCTGGTGTGCTGGATGAAGGGCGACGAGGTGAGCGAAGGGCCAGCGGCGCTCGTGCGCTCTCCAGGCGTAGGTCACGTGACGGCCTGTTTTACGGACTGTGCCATAGACGGTGAGCGACATGGAGGGGAGAGTCCGCGTGGAGACCAAGAAGACCCTGAGTAGCTTCGTCATCCAGGGGGCGGAGAAGGAGGACGAAGGCTTCTACTCACTCACCGTCACCAACCCCGCCGGAGAAGACAAGGCAGAGCTCTTCGTCAAGGTCGTGGGTGAGTTGAACTTGGCCTGCTCATCTTGCCGCACGGATTCGGGGTTGGGTGGGTTATTTATTTATTTTGCATTCACCTTGGGTTTTCCGTTACGGCTCAAGTTGTGATCTTATGATAAGGCTTGGGGTTTGCCTTGGTTATGGCAGGTAAGGTTTGGGCTTCTAGTGGTTAGGTGGGACTTGGGTTCATCTCTTGAAAGAATTAAAACATGGAATGGTTACAAATGGGCAGGGCGGTGAAGTGGCAGCTTTGGGTAGCTTTTCCTTGGGTGAGCTGCTTTCAAGATTGGTCTGGGTTAAGCTCAAGGTAGGATATGGCACACTTTGATTAGGCCAGAAAAGGATTTAGAGGTTGTTAATTGGGTTAAGATTCAAATTCAGATCATGCAAGTAGCTTCGCGTTTGGTTTGCTCTGGTCGATTTTCGGGGTTATGTTCAGTGTCAGGCTTTGCTTGAGTTTCAGTTCACTGGATAAACTGACAGCAGCAGCGCAACATTTTTCCTCGCTGCCGCATAAAAGACTGTAACCTGATTTTGCCTTCTGTCTCTTGCACGCGCACCACCCATTCCTCGGCGCGCCAGATGTGCCCAACCCTCCCGAGAACGTCAAATGCACATCGGTGGGCGAGAACAGCGCCACCATCGTGTGGGACCCTCCCACCTTTGATGGCGGCGTGCCCGTTAAAGGTGAGCCACAATCTCCACATGCCCCAATCCCGGATCACATCATCTCATCTTGCCTTCCAGGTTACCTGATGGAGAGGAAGAAGCTCGGCTCGTCCAGGTGGACCAAACTCAACTTTGACGTGTACGAGTCCACTACGTACGAGGCCAAGAAGATGATAGAGGGCGTCCTGTACGAGATGCGCGTGTTTGCCGTCAACGGCATCGGCATCTCGCAGCCCAGCTTCAATTCCAGGCCCTTCATGCCCATCGGTGCACCAACAAACTCAATTGTTCACTTCTTCCTGTTACGTTTACACAGCGGAGAGGCGCGCATGTGCAATCTTTATGTATACATCGACGCAATCGCGTTGTAATTAGAAGCAACGATCAAGACGATACAAAAACAGCAGGCAGCTGTGCTTCGGATAACATCTGGAATACTTCAGAATTGTCTGATAATATCAACCGCTTCAGTGCCAGCTGTTCTCTGGGCTTCCCTGATGGTGACGGCCCTGGGCAGATCAGATTGACAAGGCGACATGTCTAGGCTAATATCTAATTGGACAACAAATCTCTCACATCGACATGCACGCCCATGCAGGAAGCAGCGCAACCAAGACAAAAGTGTTTCCACACCGTATTGAATCGGCTTTTTGTCTCCCACCAGCCCCCACCAGTGAGCCCACTCGCCTCTCGGTGGAGGACGTGACCGACTCCACCTGCGCTCTCCGGTGGCTTCCTCCGGAGAAAGTAGGACCGGGCGGCATTGACGGCTACATCATTGAGTATTGCAAAGAAGGAAGTAAGTTGCAGGGCCGACTTGACCCTGAAAGGCAAAAAAAAAGTAAATAAATAAATAACATCTGTGAAAAAGCTGAAGCTCCAAGTACTGTGATGTTAGCGTGTAACTAGTCCAATACAAGACTGTCATTTTACGCTAAATGAGGCCGTAATCCTCAACATGAAGCTTTATTGGGGAGAATATAAAATGTAAACGGCTTCAATAATAATTAATGGTTAGCGCTGATTAGATTGAAACAGCTGAATGAGACGAGTGGTCAGTGAGAGGAGGTTTGGGGTTGATTTAGTGCTGGGATGGGGAGGTTTGCTTGCGTGGTAAGAATTGAGTGAGTTGGTTGGAGGCTCAGGTGGATTGGGGTTGCCATTATGTTCAGTGTTACGGTGGCAACCCAAAATGGTTAGCTGCCGCGGTCAGAATTTGTCACTCGGCTTGGAAAAGCACGAATGAGTTAAGCAGCCTCGCAATCGCCTTCAGCTGACGAGTGGGTACAGGGCAACA